GGCCAGAGTGTCGCGCTGATGTAGCCAGAGTGTCGCGCTGATGTAGCCAGAGTGTCGCGCTGATGTAGCCAGAGTGTCGCGCTGATGTAGCCAGAGTGTCGCGCTGATGTAGCCAGAGTGTCGCGCTGATGTAGCCAGAGTGTCGCGCTGATGTAGCCAGAGTGTCGCGCTGATGTAGCCAGAGTATCACGCTGATGTAGCCAGAGCGTGAGACAGAAGTAGCATGACTGTAGCACAGATTGTATTCTAGCATTGGTTCACGATTCAGCAGGTATATGAGAAATTGTTGAACTGAACTGTGTGAAATGTCTTACTATTATGGAATTAAATTTATAAATGTTGTTGATTTCAGGTTGTCAGGAAACGGTATCCACTGACTGATATCATCCGTATTGTGAATTTTGAAGATCCACTAAACCAGTCACTTTTAGCTGTAAAGATTGGTAGAGTCGGTGATGATGTCTATGACTGTCTAATATTTCAGTGTCCTAATCAGGTGAGTGTGTATTAGTGCTAAGCATGGATGGTAGGAGTTCAACAATTTAACTGATTCATAAAGATTGGTTGATGACAGCATATCATACCGAATTATGTTAGCTAGATAATTAAACACACTTGGATTCTGTGGTGATACACTCGGATTGTATAACTTTCACTCAATGTCCTATGATGCACAACTAGATTTATTACAAACACTGAGACTTGGTATTTTCAGCGTTGTGACAAGGCCTTTTCTGTTAACTTGCCTGGACTTGCTTAATCACCATAAAATTTATTTCAGGAACAAGCAATAGAAATTTGCAAGACACTTACAAAGATCTTTGATGCTATCTGTGAGATTGAAGTGCTGGAAAGTGACCTCAGTGAAAAGTACAAGACTCTGTGATCCAGAGCTTTCAATACAGTGTGTGTGTATTGATAAAAGCATCAAGTGATGACTCAGCTGGCTACATGACAGCAGCATTGTCAAACTGAGAGACAATGTCTTGCCATCACAATGACTACATATGTACACAAGATATATCGCAATGACGATACCAAAGTGGAATTGCAAATGTACAGTGCAGAGGTAGTGTACAAAAACACTGCCAATATACCTCTCTAGAAGCATTACAAAAAGAGAGCAGAGTATCAGTACTTATTCTTCAGTACAGATTGAGCTGAAATAATGGACAGCCCATCTATGTTTATAGCAATACTGACTGATAAACATTTGGTATATATATGGGCATTGTCGCCAGTGGGAAGACCTTCGTGTCAAACCAAATAAATAAGATGGATATAACAGACCTGATGGTATTTGTTTTCAACTAATATAGATTCCTGCCATTGTGAATTACAGTACACAGCAATAAGAATGAAGACATGACCTGATTGCGTCTGTAATTGGTAGCTGTCTTTGTAATACTGGATTATATTATTGGGGTACAAAAAATTTAGTCATATATGTATGCATAAAGTATTGTGTTGTTAAATGCACTAGTGATTCTTGATGTCAGTGATTTACTATTGCTTCATCATGTGAATTCTTAAACTGATGTGATCAACCAATGAATCAGCTTTATGCTTGAAAACATTATTATGAAAGTACAATCTTAATCAGCAAGGACACAATTCTGGCAGGTAAATGTCACAGGATTGTATTTATAGTTTTATGATTGAGCCTTTCAAGATTTCTCTTCATGGCAAGCATTATGCTAATTACATGTAAATGAATCTCTATTTTTGGATATTCATGCTGTGATCATTATTTTACATTTGCATGCCAGTCAGTTCCATACTTAGATGTGGAAGTTATATGTAAAAAAAAAATAATTCTGTAATCGACATGTTCATGCCATATATGGACACTATGTGGTAATATTTAAATCAGTTGTAATGTCATGGAAAGTATTTTTTATAAAAGATGCTCAGGCATATTTTAATACCATTGAATATTAACTTTATTTTTCGGGATAATTATGTCAACTGAACAAATATTGTTGTATAATCCTGAATTTTTGTACCGCATTTTACTACAGTGTGTTTATTTCATTCTGTTTGCTGTGGTTGTCTTTAAATACTCTGTCATTATTCAGACCACTGCATTAGAGTTGTATTATCGCATACCTTTAGTCTGTAGCTCTTGGTGTATGAAGCATTACATGCCATATGTAAAAATTACAGTATTCAAGTTAGAAGTTACGTGCATCTTAGGGCATTGAAAGAATCTCATTTATTTGATTTTGACCTTCTTATAAAATGATCAAAATTTGTTTTAAAGTATTCCCCCATGTGGCCCTTCTTTACTGAATTGTTATGCAAACAATGAATACAAGTGTGACTTCAGTTACCTTATTATTTATTCATTGTTGGTAACACTTGGTGGAGCTAACTACTCTGAGTATTGTGGTTTAATAAACAAAGTGTGAACAGAAATTAGAATATTTATAAATTTTATAGTAAACAAAATAAAATATTTTCAGTATTTAAATTGTATATTTGCCTGTAGTTTAATTGGACTAGTATGGGTTGGGGAATGCCACACATTTTATGAGTGAAAACACGTTTTCTTGTACATATATTGGCCTTTAATGACAAAGTGGTATCCATAGGCAACTACATCAACCATGCTCAAATCAATATAACAAGAATGGTTAAAAGCCAGGAACAGTAATAAATATTATCATTACATCCATGCATTAGTGGATGAAAGGAAAATGTCTTTGCAATATCCTGGTTAAATGCTGAGTCCCCACATTGAAAATAAAGCATATATAAATAATATGCTTATGACTGCACCATTTGACTGGCACACATACATGTAGAAAAACTAGCTATAATAATACAGAACATGTATGCATCACACAATTCTGAACTGCTTAAATATTTTAGATTATAAAGTGAACAAATGCTGAGATATGTGACCAATATAAATTGGCTGATTCAACATTCAATAATGTCAGAACAAAGACTGCTCTTTCTAAAAATACAGTATTTCATGAATTGAAAGAACAAAAAAATTAACACATATTAGGTAGACATTGAATGCAATGCTTTTCTTGGAGAAAAATAATTTATACACAAATGTATGTATATATATGTAGATAACAATACCACACTGCACAAGTATGCGAGTTTGTTTTCTAGTACAGGGGATCATTCGCTGAATGCTCGTACAAGCAGAAAAAAACACCAGCTCAGTAATTATAATAACGAAATGCAATTAATTCACACCTTAGGTGAAAGAGGGTGTTGTCATCATCACTAGTGTACAGTTAAACTAGTGATGCCTCACAAGAATTCTGTCAATAAAAATTGAGCTACATGCCTCCAACACAAGTCTGGCAGAATGACCAACACCACTTAGACCAACTGTCATTTCAAAACAAAGGTCATTACAAGATCAATACAATGGACATTTGTATTCAGAACCATGCGTCAACTTTGCATAATGTCATGTATTAAGTGACAAACCTACAAGTTTGTTGTGGTAATATTCATCTGAACGGTACATACAACAAGATGACCTTTTAGTTCAATCAGACATTGTCACATGACTAAAATAAGATGAATACCTAACAGAGCACCCTTCTCTTTGTGCATTTTAAATAATGGTGCTTCTCTGAAAACAAACTGCATCCTGGAGTCACATTGTGTTTAACTGAAGAAATCAGTATCTATATCCTATATCTTTCAGTCTGCAACTTGTCACATATTAATCCCTGCTGGAAAATACATATAGTCTGTTTCCATAGTAACAATTTCATAGGATTCTACTTATTCTGCTTCTGTATCACACAACGTTGTATTATCCACAATCATATTATCCTTGAGTTAGTTTGTGTCAATACTACTGTCTAAGTTATCAACATCGCTACAAATTTCATTTAACATTCTATCAAACTCGTCCATTTCTGAGGGAATAGAATGGCTATACACTCCATTTTCTGCTGCTCCGATAGTTGAAGAAGACGCCTCACTGACAGTGCGTCTGTACGGCCGTTCCGTATTATGTCCATTGCTATCTGGAATACCCAGCTTTTCAAGAAAACTATCAAAGTAATCTCCATCTTTTTCCGGAATGAAGGGTAGCAAACCTAAAGCAAAAAATAATATTTATATAATATATGCATTTACACGAGTTTGAAGCAAACACACATGAATTCCCACATGAAAACACAAGCTGTTCTCCATGTACTCTGGAATACTTTATTTTCGCTTGAAATTAATTTTCTCTATTTTCGTTGGAATGAATGATTCAGCGAATATACCTTTTTTCCTATATTTTACATTCAACTCGTCAAAAATCAGCGAAAATAAATTCCATACAAAACACCCCAAAAGTTTATTCAGCGAACATTAATTCCAACTAAAATAAAGTATTTCACAGTACATGTGTATTAGCATACGGTAAACTATTGAATCTGTATTGACAATTAAATAGGTCAGTGACCTCTTTTTTTATTTAAAAACAAAAATAAGTTCCTGGTACATTGTTTCATTCATTCACATTTCAAATGAAGTCCTAACGGTTTGCTTGGTTTGAAATTGTCAATTTGACCAGGTGATTTCCAAGATTGAGATCTGAACAATTCACTTTATGTTGCACAGTGCATGAAAACAAAGTCAATGGCAATATTAGGAGCCATTTAATTTTAAATAGAACTGACATTAAATTAGTAAAAATATATCGTTTTCTGTCAACAAAGGCAGCCATAAAGTCATAGGATTTAGCCATCAGAAACTGCTTGAAACACATCCAAAGTAAACATAGTTGAACTCTGGTGACCTTGCCCTTTGTTATATAATATTATTTTCTTTATTATAGTTTGTTTCAATATAAATATGCATTGTCATAATTAATATCAAAGTTTTAGGATTGAAACAGCAGTGGGAAAGCAGTCTACCAAATGTCATTGATTGATGTAAATATCTTACAAAAACATTGGTGCCTAATTTATTTAATTATTTTAAGGGACATAATTTCAAGCTTTATTCAAAGTAATTCAGATATTTTAGTATAAAAACAAATGCCTTATCTCAGGAAAAAAGTGTTGCATTTAGAAGTGAATAGATTCATAAAATATGCAAGATAATCAAGTATTTTGTACAGGTGTCTGTCATGGGGTTTGGGAGATACATTACCAATGATATTATTACAAGATAAATGATTCACTTCATTGAACAAATACAACAATGCATATTTCTACTGAGATCAGTGACCTTTGATGCGTATCACCAGTGATCAGTCAAGTAGAAACAGTCAAAATATTTTATCAGATTTTCTCAATTTTTGCATGATATTTTTATACAGGACGTCTGTCTTTCATACTCAGGGAAGACTTTATACTGATGAATAAGGTGACCAAGTTTGATAAAGTTTGGAAAAGAATTAGTTATTGTGCACACAATAACAATTATTAACAACAACAACGACAGACATTATTTCCCTTAATATACCTTTCTCTTCCATCTTTGATGCTACGGGCAAGGTAAAAA